ATATTCCTGTCCATTGGATCCAATGGACAAATCAAATGTCCACTGGACATATCTATGTCTATTGGATCCAATGGACAAGTGAAATGTCCATTGGACATATGTATGTCCAATGGATCCATTCGATCCAATGGACCATTGGACATACTCCCTTGCCATCTCACAGGCCTGCTTACCTACATGGGGTCGATGCCCACATATGACGTCATTCGAAATAACTTATTTACTGCACTACCAAACAAGGGTAAATAATGTTAGCCAATCAGCGCGTTTGTTTACATTTTGCGTCCTTGACCAATCAGAATGCTTGAAATTCGAAACATATAAACAAAAGGAGTGAGAAAATAACACCTTGTTCTACGCCCTCCGTGACATTCGATATTAAACTTTTTACTCCAAAACTGAGAAATTCTGATAAAGCATGCTTTCTTCTTTAATTTCCTCGGGGGGATTTTTTAAATTCGATCTAGAACGCGAAATATTTATGTTTGAATAACAGGGTTTTAACGCGCGTAAAATAGCATACTCTCACTTAAACTTATTTTCCCCACACCACAGCCGAAATATTTTTAAATATTACCTATATCATCTCATCTCGCATCGGAAATGCGTCACAACGATCCAGGACAGTATCGCATGACTCATACACACTCATTACTGAACATATCCGGTTGGCAAAATGGCGATTGTCAGACCTTCGCGAAATGCTTATTTTTGCTAACAAACTGGAGTCCAAATCCGCTGTGACACCGGGAAACCTGGATCAAACACAGCCCGGGCTCGAAACTCTCCATGTAATCAGCCCCTTTCAATGGTCCAATGGTCCATGCACTATTATATTAAAACAGCGTTACACGTTTACTATAGAGGATTGGTGTCGTACATTACTATGTAACTACTCACTCTCCAGCTATTCAAAAACAGCATTGACACTCAAGAGATGCTAAGATTGAATCTTCACTCAACTAATGTGAGTGACCTTTTAGAATACAGGTGTAAGGATTAACTTTGTTAGCCGGTTGTCATTCAACACGTAACTCACTATATGGTACCGCTATAACAATCACAGGAAGCCGATTGCCGATTCAGCAGCCTTATAACATTGTCCAAATTTGAAAAAGTTTGTGCATATAAAAACAACATAACACGCCGCATCTTCTCCGAATATATAACTCATAACAAAAATATATATATATACACACATGAGACAAAAATAAAGTTTTTAAAAATTTTGGGTTGTCTAAATACTGAACACAATCAACCATACTACGTACGGCTGTAAAAGAAATATCTAGAACATTTGTTACCCTCAATATTCGCGAGAAATACGTTGTATTTTCAAAAGATTCTGCCTCAGCAAGACTGGACATCTATGACTATAAATATAATATTACAGAGATCTCAGTGACCATTACCAGTGTATCCACTCTCCAAAAGGTCAGGACCTTCCAGAGGGGGGGGGGCACTGGGGGAAATTTGCGCCGGCCCCCCAGTTTAAGGGGACCCCAAAATTTTCAAAATTAAAAAATAATTTCGAACTTTTTTTGCTATAAATAATGGTATAACACATTTATTGATCGAAAAAAAGGGTCTGACCCATGTTGTAATAGGAATTTGTGGGAAAAAGTTTTTTGAACCTTAGTTAAACTCGTGTTCGACCAGAACATTTTTTAACCCTTTTTTAATGTCCGGAAAAAGTTTTCACCCCTCCCCGCTCGCCAACCTTTTAGGGAAAGATAGGGCTCCCGAAACAAATATTTGCCCCAGGCCTCCGAATTTCTCTGATAGGCCCTGATTATCGTAATCGCCATTTTATATGGAAATAATTATAAGTCGATGGCATTACGATGTCATGTTAGCAATGTTAGTATGGCCACGTTGTCAGTGCACGAAGATAAAACCCCTGTCGCGAATATTGATTTTTAAGCTTCGGCCTTCGCATAGCCTGCTCGCCTTCCGAGGGGCCCGCCGTGGCGTTCAAAAGCGTACGAGATTTTGAAATTAGGTGGTCTCACAAACTATTAATCAAATATGACCTTTTGAAGCTCAAGGTTGTGACTATTTCCACAAATGTGGCTTTATCGGCCTTTACGCGTCACCAAAACAAACACATCCGCTATGCGGAACAGAAGGTGACGATGGATGTGCTAAATCCAATATCAAATGGCAGGCATGCTTTGTAATTATGCATAATTTGTAATTATGAAACATAATGATCTATAGTTAAATTAATTAAACAGTAAGCATACAAATAAATGTGAAACAAAGTTTCATATCTTATAAGTTACAAAATTAATTCACCTACTGTATAATAATTTTAACATTCAGCATGAAATGAACTCTGAACAGCATGCGTCTTAATTATGCGTTTAATTAGTTACACTCGTAAGGGCATTCTTCGCTACACGGTTCATAACTGCGATTAACGTAACTGGCAACCGCGTCGCTTAAAAGTATTTCGCTTCTCAGACAATTCCTTACTAAAGAACCACCAGTCCTGAAATAGTTTTAAATAAACGCGTATGTTTATAGTCGCATACAGAATTATCAGAATAAACCAACTGATAATTGTATATTGAATATCTTATATTTCATTAAAAAATAACTGAATGTTTAATCAATGTTTGTAAATCGGATAAAGATGCGATCCTGATTTACATAAACTTTAGCTTTGATTTTTGCGCCTTAGACAATGTTTATTTTTAAAAATACTTCGTCAATGAACTCATATGCCTGACAATTATACATTCAACGCACAATTCAAATGCCCATTTGACATATGCGTATCCCATTGGATCCAATGGACAACTCTAATGTCCACTGGACATATCTATGTCCATTGGATCCAATGGACAACTGAAATGTTCATTGGACATACGCCTGTTCAATGGATCCATTGGATCCAATGGACCATTGGACATACTCCCTTTGCCTTCTCACAGGCCTGCTTACCTGCATGGGGTCGATGCCCACATATTACGTCATTCGAAATAACTTATTTACTGCACAACCAAATGTCCAGTGGACATATTCCTGTCCATTGGATCCAATGGACAAATCAAATGTCCACTGGACATATCTATGTCCATTGGATCCAATGGACAAGTGAAATGTCCATTGGACATATGCATGTCCAATGGATCAATTGGATCCAATGGACCATTGGGCATACTCCCTTTGCCATCTCACATGCCTGCTTACCTGCATGGGATCGATGCCCACATATTACGTCATTCGAAATAACTTATTACTGCACAACCAAATGTCCAGTGGACATATTCCTGTCCATTGGATCCAATGGACAAATCAAATGTCCACTGGACATATCTATGTCTATTGGATCCAATGGACAAGTGAAATGTCCATTGGACATATGCATGTCCAATGGATCCATTTGATCCAATGGACCAATGGACATACTCCCTTGCCATCTCACAGGCCTGCTTACCTACATGGGGTCGATGCCCACATATGACGTCATTCGAAATAACTTATTTACTGCACTACCAAACAAGGGTAAATAATGTTAGCCAATCAGCGCGTTTGTTTACATTTTGCGTCCTTGACCAATCAGAATGCCTGAAATTCGAAACATATAAACAAAAGGAGTGAGAAAATAACACCTTGTTCTATGCCCCTCATGACATTCGATATTAAACTTTTTACTCCAAAACTGAGAAATTCTGATAAAGCATGCTTTCCTCTTTAATTTCCTCTGGGGGATTTTTTAAATTCGATCTAGACTGCGAAATATTTATGTTTGAATAACAGTGTTTTAACGCGCGTAAAATAGCATATTCACGAGGGTTTCGTTCTGTTCGTCTTCTGGTTCATCGTTATCGGCTGCCTCAATTTCTTCGTCGCTTTCGTCCTCTCTAAAGCGAGTCGCCGAGGCAAACAGCGTTAATATTTGCTGTCTTTCCAAGGCCTTCCAAGAGCTTCAACATTTGCCAACGTTGTTGCTTGACAAACTGGGCAATCGCTGATGTTGGACAGGATGCATTCGATGTGGAATGAATGTCCACAACCACGGAAAACGTTCCAAGTGGATTAACCTTTTTGCAGGCAGGTGAATTGCATTTTCTATGATGGAAATTTTAAAGTAAGATTTATATTTTATATTTTATACAGATCTTTATAGTCAGTTTGTCCCTGGAAATTGTTCCAAAATATGAGTGTGTAGCAAAGTTAAAATAGTACTCATAATCTCCAGAACATGTTTGAATCACAGCAGTCCTGAGACATCAGAACTGGCAGCTGTTCATCTGATGATTCTGATCAATGGCACCCCATATCTATTTAGTGTACAATACCAGTCAATGTAAATTACCACCTCCCCCAACCCAGGAGTTGGTAGTTTTTACTTTTCAGCACTGCATAATCAAAATTGTTGGATTGTATGAATATCTGGTTTTGTCTCAGTGACCCTGCTTCGCCCCTTGAACCCCACATTTCCTAGATTCGAGCAGGCAGGGACTTATATTGACTGGTACTTAGTTCAATTGCAGCAATTGGTCTGCCTGTGTGTTATTTTTAAGTGTACCCTGGTTCTAGAGGCTCTTTGCAAGGTGAAAGAAACAAGAGGCAAGAACGGAGAGCCTCTGGTCACATCGATTGCAAATCCTACTTCCAAACTTGACTAGGTTCAGAATTTGGACCTTGGATGTGATTGGCCATTTGTAAACAACCTTTTTAAGAAAAACCTGTTTGGGAAATAAACACTACTGTGAGCTAATTATAGCCTGTATTAAAATATTCTATTAAACTCAACCAAGCATGAATATTAATACTCCTACAGGTGAAAAAGGTATCGAATTTCTCAGGAGATAAACATATTAATCAGTTTTGCAGGACATGTTAGTAATACATGCCCAAGCATGTATTGACTTTAATAGAATATTTTAATACAGGCTATAATTAGCTTACAGCAATGTTTATTTCCCAAACCGGTTTGACATATTTTTACAAATGGCCAATCACATGCGAGATTCAAATTCTGTACCTAATCAAGTGTGGAAGTGGGATTTGCAATCGATGTCACCCTGGGCCTTACACAGCGGAGGAGAGGGGGCGGAAGGGGGCAACTGCCCCCCTAAAGAAAACTGTATTTACAATTTTTAGATTGTCATTGTTAATTATTCTTTGCATATTTGGGACTTTTTTCAACATATAAGCCTTACTGCCCCCATGTGACCAGAGGCTCTCCTTTCTCACATCTTCTTTCTTTCACCTTGCAAAGAGCCTCTGGAACCAGGGTACTCTTAAAGTAACACACAGACAAAGCAAATAATATAATGCTTTTAAAAATCTTCAATTTCAAAAGAGGCAGTAAATTGGTAGGGAAATCTTTCAATAATATCCTGTGGTTATGGTAAACTATGTACCGGTACCAGACAATATAAATCCCTGCCTGCTCAAATCTAGGAAGTGTGGGGGCCATTGGGCAAAGCAGGGTCACTGAAGGCCTGTTTATATGATCCTGCCTAGACGGGATGTTTTCATCCCGCCTAGATGGGAAATTTGCCTAGTGTTTATATGGACAAAATACATTGCCTTTAAGTGAGCTTGACGTCATATTTTTGTTGCAATAAAGGCATTTACGCATGCTCAAAAGGGAAAAGTTCATCCCACATGGCTGGGATGAAGTGTTTATATGGGAATTTTTCGTTCCAGCTAGGTGGGATGAAGTGTTTGTATGGGAATTTTTCATCTCGTTTAGGCGGGATCCTGGCATCTGTTGCCGAGATCCCGCCTAGGCGGGATAAGTGGCAGGATCATATAAACACTTGTATTATGAGCGGGATCTCGGTAAGCACCCCGTCCGCCTGGCCGGGATCATACATATAAACAGGCCCTGAGACAAAACCAGATATTTACACATTCCAGCAATTTTGATTATGCAGTGCTGACTGCTGAGAAGTAAAAACTGCCAACTTCTGGGTTGGGGGAGGTGGTAATTTACATTGACTGGTATTGTACACTAAATAGTTATGGGGTGCTAATTGCTATGGCTGCCAGTTCTGTTGTCTTTAAAAGGACTGCTAATTCTAAACTGCAGTGATTCAAAACATTGTCCCAGCATGTTCTAGAGATTAATATGAGTACATACTCATATTTTGGAACAATTTCCAAGGACAAACTGACTATAAAGATCTGTATAAATTTCCATCATAGAAAATGCAATTCACCTGCCTGCAAAAAGGTTAATCCACTTGGAACGTTTTCCGTGGTTGTGGACATTCATTCCACATCGAATGCATCCTGTCAACATCAGCGATTGCCCAGTTTGTCAAGCAACAACGTTGGCAAATGTTGAAGCTCTTGGAAGGCCTTGGAAAGACAGCAAATATTAACGCTGTTTGCCTCGGCGACTCGCTTTAGAGAGGACGAAAGCGACGAAGAAATTGAGGCAGCCGATGACGATGAACCAGAAGACGAACAGAACGAAACCCTCGTGAACAGTTTGTTAGCAAAAATAAGCATTTCGCGAAGGTCTGACAATCGCCATTTTGCCAACCGGATATGTTCAGTAATGAGTGTGTATGGGTCATGCGATACTGTCCTGGATCGTTGTGACGCATTTCCGATGCGAGATGAGATGATATAGGTAATATTTAAAAATATTTCGGCTGTGGTGTGGGGAAAATAAGTTTAAACTTCCAAATCTACCAATTTTTTTATGTGTGTGTTAAGATAGTGCAAGTGAGAGTATGCTATTTTACGCGCGTTAAAACACTGTTATTCAAACATAAATATTTCGCGTTCTAGATCGAATTTAAAAAATCCCCCCGAGGAAATTAAAGAAGAAAGCATGCTTTATCAGAATTCTCAGTTTTGGAGTAAAAAGTTTAATATCGAATGTCACGGAGGGCGTAGAACAAGGTGTTATTTTCTCACTCCTTTTGTTTATATGTTTCGAATTTCAAGCATTCTGATTGGTCAAGGACGCAAAATGTAAACAAACGCGCTGATTGGCTAACATTATTTACCCTTGTTACGCCAGTCACCAATCTCAAATCAGGTTTTGTTTACTTTGCTTTCTGCCTGTCTACACGATATTATCGGATATCGGATTGTCATTTGGACGTATACGAAAATTAGGAGTACTTCTGAAGCCACAATTCCTCTTCGCTTAGACCACGTTTACACTATACTAGCGAAACGTTTTCGGTTTCGTTATGGATGAATCTGGGGTGTTTTTGTATCGGATTCGCTTTGCCGTTTACACAAATAATAATATACATAAAAATATTACTCGGCTGTGATTGGTTGATTTCAGTGCAGTTAATCCCAAACAGCAGTGCAATTTCTGTAATCACTGTGCAATTTTTTGTAATCGCAGTGCAAAATCTGTAACAAACTGATCTGATTGGTGGAAAACAATGTGATGATAAAATCAGCCAATCAGTTTAATTAAAGCAGTTTAGTTTAAAGAAGTAACAGTACCATGCAGATTGCTTCAAACAAAACAAACGTGCATGGCGCCGCGTTACATAAAGTAAAAGTTGCCTTCTATGGAAAACGATTTGGTGCAAAATACGAGCATTAAAATTCTACCAGTTTCAACAAACGCTGATCAACATTTTATAATACATTCAACAAACCGATTCAACGTCAACATTAATTCCGTTCCAAATTCAACTATTCACAAAGCCTTCTATAGCAACACCGATTTTTGTTTCACAACCAAGACGAGTTTTCTGCTTCAGAAGCAACAGCCGTATGTTTAGTCGTTCAAGATCAACCTTAAAATTTGTGCCAGATTCAAGCAAGAAAAATTTCAATCAACAAAACCCGAAACGCTGTCAACAAAACTCGAAACGCTGTCAACAAACCCAGTGTTTCCACCCTCCTTTTCCGTATCCCGAAATTTCCTTTTTTTTCCAATTTTTTTTGCAAAATTTCCAAAATTTTTATCAAAATTGATAGATTTACCTGGTAATTAACATCAAAATTCTAATATTCATTTATAGTAAATAACTCTGTATTTTGCAGGTTAAAATCAGCTCATCCTCTAATATATGTCCTTCCATGGAATTTCCCTCCCATTTAATTTATTCCTCCCTCTAGAAATTCCATGTGAGAATTGCTTTTCTCCTTGGAATACCAGAGCCTGGATCCCCATCCCATGGAAACTCCAAGGTTCCTCAAGAGGGGGAGGATGATAACTGATGTGGTTAATTATAAATCGGGAAATTCAGCACAATTCACATCATTGAATTTGGGGAGGGTCACGGTTCCAGCTCATACTTTAAAACATTAATAATCTCCTCCAACCGACATGTTATCCTGGTTTGAAAATGGTGGTATATTTCAGGTATAGTGCCATGACATGAAAACGGCTTTGATATACGCAGGGGATGATCTATGAATCGAGAAATTCAATAAAATTCACGTTGTATTCAGTAAGGGTTACTCTTTCTATTAAACATAAATAACCCCCTGTAGTCTAGGACCTGTATATGATTTTGTATGCATTTCATTTAGGACAGATAATTTCAACTGTTTTAGAGCAAGTTAACCCTGACGGCCAACATGGTAACGTTGCCCGAACCCCAATCTGGTACGAAACGTCCGAAACTGATCACACCCAAAAACGACGCTTTCGCCATACCGCTATCTACCAAACCATAAAAGCTTTGGCCATTCTGAGGTGCTTATATGGTTCAGAGATGGTACTTTTGGGGGTGGTCATTGGTAAGTGTGAAATGCCTAGCACTAATATTTCACAAGAAAATCACCATGCAATAATCATAGTTGAACATCAATTTGTGGCTTGCAACTTCAGATAAACAGCAGTGGACTTACATTACCCTTTTCCCTAAATCCTTTTGATAGAAACATAATTGGTACTTATCTAAATATTTTATCACTGGTTTGGTGTAAAATAGTTAATATTTTCTGACCGAAATAATAATTTGAAATGTGCCTACCTCCTGCAAATGGACGTATTTGGCCAAGTTCTCCACTTTACTCCGCTGTTTATCGGCGATCTCGTCGACATCCTTCCAAAAATGTATATCATCTCAGACATAATGGTATCAAGAACATTGTAAACAAGTTTCTACTTGGTTTCAAGTAGATCATAGCTGTTTAACCATCGACAAGGTAAATCCACAACTTTGTCCAAATTCGGCGGCATTTTGTCACCCCGTTGTCAACAATTCGGCCTCGTTATTCTTCCATTCACGCCATATTCATTGTACAAATTTAACCCTTTGTTAAGGGTATTGAAATAAAAGTACAAATGAAATATACGAAATGCAGCTTTTTATCATCCTGTAAAGTGTTGCTTACGAGTCCTTCAAAACATTTCGTACAAATCTCGCGTGGTTTAGTAACAGGGACGTGACAGGGGGGTAGAGACTTGAAAAATAAAAGCAAAGCCCCCACAGTATGGTAAAACCAACGATCAACATTTAATTTGTACGAGTTGTTCATATCAATAAATAATAATATGTATATATTTGTCGCTACAAGAAATACAACAAACGTTTGTATGATTGTATTTAGCTTTTAGTCTATTTTACGCAGCCTTCTTCTATCTTCGTGAAATAATTCCCCCCCCCCCTGTCACGTCCCTGTTACTTTGTCACGCGAGATTTGTACGGAATGTTTTGAAAGACTCGTGAGCAAGATCTTACAGGGTGATAAAATGCTGCATTTCGCATATTTCATTTGTATTTTTATTTTAATACCCTTAACAAAGGGTTAAATTTGTTATTTGTGCAATGGAAATGGCTTGGATGGAAGAGTAACAAGGCTGAATTGTTGACAAGCGACATGGGATGACAAAATGGCGCCGAATTTGGACAAAGTTGTGGATTTACCTTGTCGATGGTTAAACAGGTATGATCTACTTGAAACCAAGTTGAAGCTTGTTTAAAATGTTCTTGATACCATTATGTCTGAGATGATTTACTTTTTTGTAGGATGTCGACGAGATCGCCGATAAACAGCGGAGTAAAGTGGAGAACTTGGCCAAATACGTCCATTT